AGAGAGAGAGAGAGAGAGAGAGAGAGAGAGAGAGAGAGAGAGAGAGAGAGAGAGAGAGAATAATATATAGGACCCAATTCTGTACTCTGATGTACACACAGGGCTCCTACTGACGCATATGTATATGTAGAGGAGGTGAGGTAGAAAGGTTTGATTGGTTGAAATTACCAAAGCCACCAGTCAGTTCTGGAGTTGATCTTAAATTAATGCCAATAAAACTTGTAATACTGCACCAGACCAGCGTATAGGCTGTGTATGACAGTGTTTTACAGAAAAATGATTTTAGAAAAAAATAGTTATTTAAAAAAATATAGTGGTGTTGTTGTTTGCTTGGTGTGGGTTTTGTTTTGTTTTTGGTCATATCATTTTAACTCTAAAATCATGTTGTCTTAATACCATGAGTCCAGATTGAAAGGTCAAAAAGATTGTAAAGTAATACATTTTAGAAAGCTCTAAAAGTGATCAAAAATAACTTTTCTATGCATAATAATGCCCCAATTATAAGGTCTAATACAGGGGTAGGCAACCTATGGCACGTGTACCGAAGGCGGCATGCGAGCTGATTTTCAGTGACACTCACACTGCCCGGGTCCTGGCCACCGATCTGGGGGGCTCTGCATTTTAATTTAATTTTAAATGAAGCTTCTTAAACATTTTAAAATCCTTATTTACTTTCCATACAATTGTTTAGTTATATATTATAGACTTACAGAAAGAGACCTTCTAAAAACGTTAAAATGTCTGACTGGCACGCGAAACCTTAAATTAGAGTGAATAAATGAAGACTCGGCACACCACTTCTGAAAGGTTGCCGACCCCCGGTCTAATATCTCATTCTACCAAGGTTAGTTGAAAATGTATTATGTGAACACACACACACACACACGTAAATATGGTCATTGCTTGCAACTTCACAGTATGCCTCACAGCTATTCTGCGGCTTTCCCATATGTCAATGACTAAAGTCTTGTTTCAATTTAATCCTATGATCTTGAAGCACAGATCGTAACTCACCCACGACTTCAGTCAATTCCCAAAGGGGACATGATATACATATAAGTATTATGCATTTATATCTACATATGCAGAGTCATAATTAGTGCATATTCATATACCCACATAGAATGGCGCCTTTTTAAATACAATCTCAGTGTGCAGAAAATATATCCTTTCATCAGGTCTATTCTCTGCAATATCCATTCCTAGTTTACAGGAATGTGAAAATATGGATTATATACGTTACTTAAAATATACATTTCCAAGTGCATACAGAGTAGATATTTGCGTCAATTAAGTTGTTGCCCTGTATTAGAAAGTCCACACATTCTAGCTGTGTTTTTTACATAAATTGCTTAATATATTTAAGCAGAATAGATAGTACCATTTATGTCATCTACAGACCACTCCTCCCCGCCCATCTATCTTTGAGCACAGCATGTGCATTCTTTCCTGTAGTATGTAGTGTATTCAGTTTTACACAGAATGACTATTTTTCTAGCACTAGGGTATTATCTTACAAAGTGCAATGAAACCAACAGACAAAAGTAAACACTGCTAAAGTCTGCAGTGCCAAAAAATATCTTTCTAATCATTCAATGGTATGTGCCATTGCTATGGGGATTAGAAAACACAGTCATGGGCCTGTTTATTTAAAACAATCTTTAGTTCGATATTCATTGTCAGCATTTTGACTGCCAATATTCAGTCATGCAAGTCTTTGATTCAGATACTATATAACCCTTCTGAAATTACAAAAATAAACTTTGGGGGGCAGTGTTAAAGTGGCTAACCTCAAAAAGGTTGGGTTTTTTCAGTCTACTATATTAAACTAATGCATTTTACTGGAGCAGCTGCAGACTGCAGTAGATTTCTGGCAGATCAAGATTTTGGGAAACAGATATGTGGCTGCAGAATTGTTTAGAATTCTCTTCTGGTCTTTGCTGTCTGCCCTGAACCAAATTAGATTTGCCAAAAAGGCTTAGCTTGTTTTCTAAAACATATTTGCCAATCTGTAGCAAATAGGTTGTTAGATATTTTCCCTTGTTGGCTATAAAGTGCTCTTTCTGATTAGTTCATCAATAGTTATCAAGAAACTCTATAGAGAAGATACAGTTTCTCTACCAAGACTCTACATTCTCTCTCCTCCCATGCTAATGCAGTTCCCCGACATTTAAACATGGGACTCATCTAAGTCAACATCAGTCTCACCAAGCTCAACATGCGTGAAGCTGAAGTGGCTGGTAAGAAGGGGATTCTCCATCCCATTGTCCTCGCTGATGTGAAGGACAGTGTCTCCATGTTGCAGTAAGCTGGTTGTCTCAAGGCCTGCAAAGTCCTCTGTATCAGAGAGCTGTGTGGGTGGGGTACTATGTGCTTGTGCTGGCCGGGGCTCCAAATCCTCCTCTGTTTCTTTTTCCTTCTCAGTGGGAAGCGCCTCACTCTGAAATCAAGGAGAGCTTGCGGTCAGGCTCCAACTCATGGGAAGAGAAGGGGGTGGGGAGGAGAATAAAAACCAATGTGTGCAAAATATATTCAGATCTGTTAACTAATAAAGGCTAGACCATAACTGCCCCTTGGTTTATTTGAAATGTTTAAAGGTACAAAACCCTAAAATTTTATGCAAAAACAGTTAATTTTTTTTCTGGCTGGTGAATTTGTAGTGGAAATTACAAAGATAACATTGCTTAAAAGGACACTGTAATTTGAAATTCTTTTAATAACTTTTCCAAAATGGGTTTTTCTATCTCTTCTGCTCATAGCCAAGGATGTGTCCCCCTGGGGAACCAGATAAAGAGACATCAGAAAAGAGACCTTTGTCTCATTGGGCTGGCTCTAAATTCTGCGTTACAATTCGTAATTTTCCTCACACACCATCCTCCACCCATCAGTGATGTCTAACACCTACTTTTTCCAGCAGTCAGTGCATGACAAAGAGCTTCTTTCTAAAGGTATCCTACTGCAATTAGATATATGATTTACTCTAGCTAGTGTGAGTACCAATAGCAGTGAAGGTGTAGTGGCATGAGTCTCAGCCTGCACTCTACAACCCTGTCCTGGAGCCTGGATACTTACTTGGGTGACTAGTCCATGCTGAAGCCCATGTGCCACGGCTCCACTGCTACTGGCACTCATGCTAGCTAGATTAACATTAACTCATGTACGTCTACACGTGCTGCAATCACACACCCTGATTACTGTATCGACATACTCAAAGTCTGGTACCTTTGCTAATGCAGTCATGTGTTTTTGATAGGAATCCTTCCATACTGATGCATCAGTCTACCCTACCCCAATCCCCATCACAGATCATTCCTCAGAGACCAATGTAGCTGAGCAGAGAGTTGAATTAAAACTTTCACTGGTGTAGAAGGATGTGAGAGAAAAGATCTCTACAGACAGGAGGAGGAGGACATAGGATCAGTCAAGCTAAGGACATGCAGTGGTGAAGTGCCAACGGAAATGGAAGGAAAGAGAATCAACACAAAGATCTGGGAGCTAGCGATTTAAACAAGAAGTGGCATGGGCAACCACCTCACTGTACAGAAAACAGACTCTGCAGTCTTCACACTCCAACCACTTCTCTTTACGGCCACAAGTGAGATCGTTAGCCATTTTCACTATTTTTTCAGCAGCTTAAACCACTAAGTAGAGAGGCACTGCATATGCATGTACCCACTAGAGATTGGAGCAGCTAACCTACTTTCTGACTTGTCAGATGA